AATTTTTTTATGGTGTCATTAACAAGCCTAAAGATATCAACGGATGGGCGAATTCCAAAGTACTCAATGGTACTCGCTCTATATTTTGGGTTATTTTGTAATAATTTCGCCAGATAGTTGATGTATTTTAAGGTTGCCTATTTAATGTCCTACTATCCTTATTCATATAATTCCGAAATTCAACAGTATAAAATAATTCAAGAAAATGACTTTTATCAGTTAAACCAATTCATTCTAGATATTCGGCCCGGTGCAAAGCATTTTCAAGTTCGAGACATTCGACGAGGCGGTGGACCGCGCCAACGACACCAACTACGGTCTTGGCGCTGGCGTCATCACAAACGACATCACCACCGCCATGGCCTTCGCCCGACACGTGCGCGCCGGCTCCGTGTGGTAAGCAACCTCTATAATAACAATTTAACAAATCTTTGTCCTCATGCATCTCTTTTGATATCTTGTCACTATCGGTGGCTAGTTTTAAAAACAACCTCAAAGTAAAAAGCGCTTGGTTTTTATTTAACATATTGCATACTTATAGAAACTACGTAACCAATAAAAACATTTTAACATAACTATGCTCAGCTAGTCTGATGGAAAAAAGTAAGAGTTGTATTCTAAACCGGTATATAAATTGATTCAAGTCTCATATGACAGTGAAAACGTATTGATAGCAAAATCTTTACTAGCTAAGAAACCAGTTTACGGAATTTGAAAAAATTAGGAACATAAGCTTCCACAAAGTTTAGTAAATGGTTGATTTTTTTATCCTATTTTGTAAAATTTATCAATAATTATTATTTTAATACTATTCATTATTACTTTAAGATATTTTGCCATTTATTATTATCAGTATTTAATTGTTATATCTTTAAGGCTTTCATTGTAACTTTGTACAAGCTAAACCTTCTACCGAATTTAAAGAGGGAAGTGACTATGACTCATATTCTTCCAGGTGTTTTTAAATTGTTTTTTAGAATATAAGTTTTGTTTTTTAGGATAAACATTTACGATCACGTCACTAGCCAAACTCCTTTCGGAGGTTTCAAAGACTCCGGCATGGGCAGAGAATTGTAAGTTTTAATATAACCCTTCATAATATCTACTTTTACGTAAGTGTTCTCTTAAATAATTTCGTTTTAATTTTCTAGGGGAGAAGAAGGCATCAACAACTATTTGGAAGTTAAGACGATTACTATGAGTCTCCCAAAACGGCCACTTTTATAAAATTCTATTGCAAACATGGGGATTTTCATACACGATATTAAAATAAAGATATCTTGTAAGAAATGTTAAAATTATTAATTTTTGTGTTACCAGTGTGAAAGCATCGAACTTTAAAATAAACTGTTATAGTCACAACCCATAAGTAAATAAGCATTGTTATCTAGTATTTTTGGTAACTTACATTTTTAATAAAAAAATGATTTTGCATACATCTTTCTTATATTTTTAATAAATCTTTTATCTACTGAAAACTGGTCTACTATTCAGTGAATCAAGCAACTGAAGAATACTTGCCAACAATTTTGTACTGCTTATGCGTGAGGTGCTCGGACATCATGCCGCAGACGTGTGCACCCAGGGAGTGTCCCACGCACGTCGTCATCTTCGCTAAAGCCCCTGCTTGAGTTAACAACGAGTATAGTTGAGCTGTACACTGAGCTGCCAACCTGTAAACGCAGTTCATCTTTCATAACTTCCACACTGATGATCTTTCCTAAAGTGAGGTGTGAATAGACTTTTTATATCTAGACTGGACAAGTTTGAGTGCAGATTGGTTGAAATTTTTGATTTCCTTTATAGTGGGTATACTATTTTGAGGTTATTCAGATGAGAAGACTATAATAATGTTACCTCATATTAGAGAGTGCGGACATATAGCACGGAAACCTCGACAGCATTGACCAGTCCACCATAAACACATTGTAGTCCTTACGGGAAAGATATGCTGAAAATGAAATAATAAAACTGTAATGTAAATAATACTAAAATTGATTTCTCTTGCCGAAAAATTAGTTATTCTATAAAACTATTTGGTATTTGCTTATAATATGAAAATTGTTTTAATTGAGAAACGAAAACGTCGAGTAGCCTAATATACGGATGCAAAAAATAGTAACGGTACACTTATATCGGAAGATACGATTTGCAACACTTTCTAAAGTGTAACAAAATTATAACTTTCAATCTACAACAATGTTAGATGACGACCGTAAAGAGGAAGAGAATATTTCAATAGGAAATTAAATGTTTTGGTATCATTTTAACAATACTTAAATTAGACTCTGAGAGTAAAATCAGCCTTGCTCTTTGAGATTGGAATTGGAAAGATCTTACAGTGCTTACCGTCTCGTAAGTATGAAATGGGCGTCTTAGCGTGTGTTCCGTTAAATCCGTGGATTATGAAGACGTTCTTCCTGGCCTGTTTCCAGCCGTAGTCCCGGAGGTCTCGGTGGCCGACGTGGATCCATTGCTTGTACGGCCGTTCCCTGACACGGTACACTATTTTACATAGTTTTCTATCTAGATTTTATAAAAATTATATCGAAAGCAGTCAAAACAGTAGTATGGTAAAGCTTTATTTCTCTATTAATAATAATGATTACTCTAAGTCCAATAATGGGCATTGTTTTAAACCATTTCCGCTGTTTAAAGACAAACGGTTAAAAGTTACATTCACTTCTAAAATTATTTACAGATTTTCCAATTATATTTTGAAAAATAGTTTGTAAAAACTTTTGATAAAGTACCAGTACAGTACATTAACCAGTATGCATATTTTAAAACTTACGGTGTATACAGGAAGAAGTTTACTTCGCTATCTGGACATTTCCACTCTCGCTTCATGACGCATCGCCAGTACCTGAAGTCCATCATCGACATCAAACTGCCTTCCACATCCGTGCCTGCGGACAAAGTGGGTTTTTGGGCTACCGTACAGTTTTAGCAATTAACTTACATACAACAGTTAGAAATTAAAATCTGTATATTAACATGTCAGTTGAAACTTGTATCAACTTTCATTTCATAACCTGTTAGGTATTTGATATATGGATATAATCCAATATGACCTGACGTACGAAACCTAATATATGTTGCGATATGAAGAGAATTGCGGAAAACGAAAACAAATACAAATGTAATATTATTACTAATTTAGATTCCTAGAGAAAATTTAGTCAATTGTTTTATTATTTTTTATTTAAAGTACGTAAATGGCTTTACGTAAGCACGCAACCGTACCAAACTTTACGTTGGTAAAAGTGATATAATGAGTTTATATTTTGTTGTAATATAAACTTCATGGTAACGAATTACGATAGCCCATAGTCACTTTCTCTGCCAAGGACAGGTGGGATGAGAAACACGGTCAATGACATTAAGTTACCTAACTTATGTTTTTTTATTCATTTATTTAATCATTGAGAAAAACAAAATAATGGCGTAATCATCGATGTTCACATTGACGACATCTCAATGAAAAGTAAAAACAAGTGAAAGTTTTCAACTTTTATATCGGAAAAGATAATCATGACGTGTGTTCAAGCATTATAAGACAATGTAACTGAATAATCTAATTGCAGTCATTTTAAGATTATCTTCTAAAGAAAAGAGTAGCAACGTTTCGTTTCAAGATAATCTTTTTTGGCATAAGGAATAGGTTTGCAGTCTTATTCCTTTAAAATGCCGGCAACGCATCTGCAGTTCCCCTGGTGTTGCGGATGTCCATGGGTGTAGGACCAATTAACATTAGGCGATCCGCTGTCCGTTTGCCCCATTTTCATATAGACAAAATACTCTCATTCTCTTAAAATAAACAGTTATCTGTATTTAATGTTTCAGCTGTATAAACATACAGTGCAATTTACTTTTGTGCGTAATGTTTTGGGTGAGATGACATGTCAAAAATCATCTTTGACTATAACGCGAATGTTAATAACTGTTTACTTTGATTAGATATAAATATTGTCTGATTCGAGTGAATGATTTTTTTTATGGAGAGTTTCACTAATGAAAATCACTAAGTAACTAAAGAAAAATACGTTTTTACGTTTGCATGGACACAATAAACGTAAGTTTTCATTCCTATCATCAAGTATTGAATAAAAAATTTAATATCAAAAAATCCTGACTAGATGGATTCAGATTCAGATTAGGATTGATTTTGAGTTTAAAAGCGTACAGTTTCGCTTTCATACTTACTTACATACTTTAATGTTTGTGTTAATTTTAGATTGTGTTTATTGTGTAAAAAAAATGTAAATTAGGTTAAGTTTGTGGAAATTTTTTTATTTTTTTTTCGTATTCAATTACTTACTAATTTCGGCACAAGTGGCAAGGAATATTAAAACACATAAACTACTCTTAAATAAACACATTTTCACAATTTTTTACCACACACAAATCCAAACAATTATTTAATTTTTTTTTCGTACTTTCATTCCGAATAATTTAATATCACAGACGATAAATTAATTTTATTTTAACGAACATCGTTACATTTCAAAAGGAAAGGCATACGGCCACATCTGCAGCGTCGAAATGGTAACTGGTAAAATTCTCACGGAGTCGAAGTAACCCAGAGCAGTTTAACAGAGAGAGCATTATTACTATCACTTTCTATAGGATAGTTTTTTTTTTTATAAAGCCAACGTTCGTATACTTTTGGTCTTCTAGTAAAGTGGCATACTTTGAAATAAAGTTTAAAAAAATCTTTTACCTTGTCCTAATTTACTCAATTATGCATGTTTAAGCTATTAGTTAAGCTGCATTTTTCTTGATTTTTTCGTTATAAACAACACATCTAAAAAATGTCCAAATTAAATATTCATCGGAACTTTCACGTTTAGCATCCTAAAACACGATCACGTTTGTAACCTAGAAGTGGCCGACGATGGCTCGTTAAGAGTAGATTTACTTACGAATACCAAATTCATGATACAAGGTTACTGTGTCAATGCACATCAGAGTCGGTGGTCGGCTGGACGACTTACTTTAGATAATTCTTAATTAAAAATGAAGTAATTAAAAAGCGTTGCAATTAGCAATAAAATTGCATTGCTACGCAACGCGCAAATTGTTTTTATAAAATTAACCGCCAAAATACCAAAGTAATGCCAAAATATTTATTTACATCATAGGAATTCACTTGTGTATTTATGTAAAGATTTTCCTTACATACTCACTGCAATATAATTTGTAAAATAGCCCTACGACTTAAATAGTTTAGTAGCATCTAAACTGTAAGTCCAGGGTCAGAACAATAAATATTGACATACGAAAAATAATAACAAAAAACCTCAAATTCCTGTACTCGAACATATTCCCCGTTATTCGTTCGAAGCTCGTCACACCTCTTGTTATATTAATAACTTCATGGGCGGATAAGATTGAATTCAACCTCCTTGGTTTATATTTTATACGGCCACAAAGTCAAATTAAAAACAATAATAATGAAAGAGTTGTGGACAGCAATTATGAGATGAAAAATCAACAACGAATTATATTGTTTTCGTGTAGATTTTTGTAAATGTTATTAATATCAAAACAAAGATTTCTTTATCATCAACGGTAAGTACTGATTTTCAGATATTTATACACAAAAACATTGTTTTAATGACATTCTCTTTGTTTTAATTATATTTGAAAAAGTATTAACAGTACGCAGAGTGCAAAAAAGTAGGAATTGAAAAAGGAATGCCATTTCCGCTTAAAAAAAGTATACACAAAACTGCGACATCTATGTAGGGAAAACTAGAACAAAAGTTAACTAGCCCATGGGTTCATGGCTAATTTGGTGACAATAGAGTTGTGTCGCAAATAGGTTAGTAATGTTTTAGTAGTTTATAGTAATAATATAACGGTGTTTTAGCTATCAAATAAAAGCATAGTTTCATTTTCATCAATATTATTCTAATAATAGAAAATAATATTAACTGGTAAGAGGTTATCTTCTTTAGTCTATGATATTGTTCTATCCTAATTCATGTATTTTATTTTTGCAACGCATCGTTCTTAATTGAAGTCATGTAGTACAGATGACTGCGAAATATACCAAAACCATCTAAATATACTACTCAGTACTAAAATATAAACTATCCACATTCAACAGGTTACAATTTACGCCGCTGCGTGTCGCTGTTAACGCAGCCTACAGATAATAAAAATGAAATAACCACAGAATACGAATAGAAAATAGAACCAACGTTATGACTCAAACAATCATGAGTGCGTGAGTATGTACTGTTGACTACTGTTTACTCAACTCATTTTAATAAAACACAATCTTGTTGACATTTGACTTATACGACTCGCGTTTTCAAAACATTATGTTCTGTTACACAGTTCTAACCACTGCAAATACGTTAATTCATTACGCGTAAAGCAGTCTTCCTTACTTTACGTCATTTTCCTAAATATTATATACGTAAGGTTATTGAAAAACACAATTAAAGCTATAGTAGCCAAAGAAAATATATGCAAGTTGTTTTAACCCAGAGGAAGGTAATAATTTTTTTGATAACATTTTTTTATGTTAATAATATTATCTGTTAGTACCAATATATTACATTATCTTGAAACCTAATTGCTTTTTTACTGGTCGACAGTTAAAAAAGTATAATAGTTTAGATTTTTCTTATTTTACTTTTTCATTTTTTTAATAAATTTTTTAATAAGAAACTTTTATCTTTTGTAAATGATTATTCTATATCATAAGTATTAATGTATATTCTGTCTTTCTCCTTGTATTACTTTTTTTAGAACTATTTTTACATGAAATTTACCGCTAAGTTAGGCGCTCTATTTCAGCGCTTGTTTAAAAGCTCGATGCTACGCAGGAATTAACGATTAAGTTTTCTTATCATAAGTTCACATTACCGATAATATTCACACGTTGTTATTGAGAGGGATCACAATATTTTTATAGAAAATTTTGTCAGTGCAAAATAATTAGTAAGGGCAGAACAAAGCTTTGGCAGAGAGAAAGTGAAGCAACGTTTTTCAATAATTAATGTGTCGTCTTCAGGGAAAGTGTACTGAGCCATTTCTAAAATTATCTAATACATGAGCAAAATAGTATTTCAATATTATATTATTACGCAAATGTTTATGACACAAAATTATTATTTTTAATACGATATTTTTCAGAAAACTCAATAGTATTATTAGATTTACAAATGGAACATAACAATTATCAACGGACAGGTGTGTATTTATAACCGTCGAATCATTGTTAATTGTATTAATTCTGTTGTAAAATAATAATATTTTTATCTATGCCATTAGGTGTCCGTGTTTACACATTTGTTGGTAAATAACTTTTATTGAATCTTAAGCATGCGTAACTTATTAACCCTTTGTCCACGTGTGCATTTCTAATTCTAACGGTGAACAAACAAACTAAAATTGATTGCGCTATTAAGTTCACCTCACTGCCTCTTATTCGTTCATACATCTATATAATTATGTACCAATTTATACTGGATACTTCAAACACACCGATAGCCAATTTTGTATTTGATATGAAACAACAAAGGCTTATATCTCACCACAGCTGCTCGTACCATACTCGTATTATCTGTATTAAGTCTGTTTACCCACGATCTAACAGTCACGATGTTTACATATTACATTTCTTTCATTGTTTACTTCAACTGTTTCTATGTAACACTTGGAAAGTTGTACGTTTAACTAAGAGCTAGGGTAAAAGGCTGTTGAAAGTATTCTTCCAATAAAATAGCACCGCCATTGGTAAACATCTCCGCTTTAGCTTAGCTTTTGCTACTACTCTATCCCTATTTACTAACTAATTGTGCTTGCTAGCATTGTGTTTTCGATCATTAATATTAACATTCTTAACTATCAAACTGTATCTATGTATAATAGTATAAAAAAAATTGCTTTGGTACTTAATAAAGTTAAGAAATTCCATTTTTTTTTTGGCGCGAAATAGTTACATTTAACACCTACATTATATGCACAAGGGTTTGGCTAACGTGATTATCTTATTTTATTTTATTTAAATCAACTTATTTATTTCACAGATGAGACAGAAAAACAAAATTCTAAGTGAGTTTACATTTCATATTATTTTCTAGATACAAAATTCTTGCCAACTTAATGTAACAAAATGTACTTTTGTTTCGCTTCACATAGGTTTCTAACTGAATTCATTTTTATGTAGTTTTACATATGTTTTATCGTTTAATTATTTATAGATGGTGGCATAAACTGTGTTTGCGATGCCACCAACCTGACTCGACCCCGTCTTGGCGACCGTCATGGTGGCAAAAGATATTTCCGTTTCCACTTTTCCCTACGTACAGACAGTCAGCGCAACAACTATGTATTTTATTTTTCTGTAAGTAACATTTAAGTAACGATATCCACGAAACGACTATATATATTTTTTTTAAACATAGCACAGAATGCTTAATATGAAGTATTTAGAACGACTGTTTTCTTTCAGTCTTATTAATATGGGGTATCGCGTACGTAGAAATTGGAGAAGCAGTAACTCCAGATGGAGAACTGTTCAGCATGACTGTCCTAGTCATAGTAGCGTACTTAATGGGTTGGCTGTGGCTGAAGGTGACCACGCTGCCAGCGCTCATCGCAATGCTGCTCACAGGAATACTGTTCCAGAATCTCCACTTAGTGCACATGACGGATAAATATAGAAAACTTAATCAAGATCTGAGGTATGCTATTTGATAATATATTTTTACATTTATCTTGTATGTTATTGCAGTTTTGAGTTTTAACATAAGTTCATATATATTATTATTAAACAAATTAAAAGTTTTAATAATGATTCAAATAAATAACAGTTTTTTGCTAAAATTCTTGAACGTAGACCACAAAAAAATAGGGAAAAGCAGTAGTAATCAGAGGATGTTTTATTTATTTTTTATCTATTTTTTTTATTTCAGAAAAGTAGCGTTAGTTATTATACTGATGCGAGCGGGGCTGGGACTCGACGCTAAAGTTTTAAAGAAACACTACACCGCGGTATTACAACTGGGCCTGTTGCCGTGGATAGTTGAATGTTTTGCCATATGCGTGTCCTCCCATTACTTTCTATCGCTACCATGGATATGGGGTGAGGACGTTTACTATTAATGAAGAAACAAAGAATCTTATGTTATTAAACTTAATACAGTCTAAACTTGATGGAATTCGAATAGTGAAATTGTAGACAGTAGTTTTTTTATTATAATTTATTCATACTACGGATATTTTAGAAAATAATTTTTATTAATGTAAGTTTTGTTTGCAGGTTTTCTTCTAGGATCTATGATAGCGTCAGTTTCGCCGGCAGTAGTGGTGCCGTGTCTGTTCCGGCTACGCGACTCAGGTTACGGTGTCGCTAAGGGTATACCCACACTGTTGCTCGCCGCAGCTGCGATTGATGATTCAATAAGCGTGGCTGTGTTTGCTATTATTTTAAATGCTATGTTCTCGACGGGCTCGGTTACTTACAATATTGTCGTGGTTTGTATATATATTGTATTTAAAATTATTTATGTGAACATATCAAAATGCTCTTTGAAAGTCTAGTATTTGAATGTTGAGAACGATAATTCATCAGCTTTTGTATAAAAGCAGTGTTAAGTAAATTGTTATTTTTTAGGGACCTTTATCAATTTTAGCGGGCATAGGATTAGGATCGCTTTGGGGAGCTATAGCTTCCGTTATTCCAGAAAAAGGAGATACGTATGTGGTGCCGTTGCGATTTTTAATTTTATTTTTAGGAGGTCTATTCTCACTGTTTATATCTAGTTTAATTGGATGGAGTGGAGCAGGTATAACTTTTTTTGTCATTAAATAGAGTATACAAATATTGTGGTAGTAATGACCCTGATATTTCTTAATACAGGTCCTTTGGCAATAGTGTCTTCAGGGTTTGTAGCAGCATTTTTTTGGGAAAGGCAAGGATGGATTGTAAATAAGAACCCTGTTAGTAACATCTTCAGAATCTTATGGATATTCTTTGAGCCAATACTCTTTGCATTTACAGGAGCACAAATTACAGTAAATAATAGTTTTATTCGTTTATTCATATTTAAATTGTCTCTGAATTCATCAGTTTAATAATTTAAATGTTTTACAGATTAGTTCTTTAGATCCCGAAGTTATAAAAATGGGTGCAATTTGTTTAGTGGCATGCTTAATCTTACGTATGATTGCTACCTTTCTGGTTAGCTTTGGATGTGGACTGAACAAAAGAGAGAAGCTGTTTATTGGAGTCACATGGTTAGCTAAGGCCACAGTGCAGGTATATTATCACTTTTCGATAGTCAAATTCATAAGTTCTTCCACTAAAATACGGGAAAACTAGATATTCGAATTTAATATATAGTTATATAGCAAATTCTTTGTCTGTAGGCAGCATTAGGACCGGCAGCTTTGGATTTAGTAAGAAATAGACAAACATCTGGACTGCCGCCTCTCGAGGAAGAGAAATACGCAAAAACAATTCTGGCGATGAGTGTACTTAGCGTTGTTTTGTCTGCACCATTAGGAGCAATACTTATTGCTATCACGGGACCGAAACTATTGAGTCGGGAACGTAAGTTGCAGTTGCCTATTTTCTTTGATTTAATAGACCTGAATCCTAAATGAAATGTATGTTTTTTATTTTTGTTACAGCCGAATCAAAAGCTCCTGAACGCATTGACGGAAATGTTGAAAGTGCAAGAACTCCCGCAATAACGCCATTGTGATATCAATAAACATAGCAAAATTGAAATGTGCTTACTATGTAAACTGTGCTACGGCATATACCTTAAGAAAAGTCTTTCTGTAGTACTTAATATTATAATTAATTAGACATTTTATTTGTCTTGGTATTGGTATTTATTTGTATTGTATTATTTATTTTAAAATGTAATAACAGACAATAGGGCAGTAATTATTTTTAATAGTCATGTAGTACTTTACAGTACATCTAAGCTGTCTGAACTGTCTTGTTGATTGCATTGTTGTTATTCCATAGATCTTACGTGTATTTAAATAATGCATAAAAGTGTTATTTATATTATTATCAGAAAAGTTAAAACTGCATTCAAAATACAAATAATAAAGGCAAGGAAGATGTTTTTTTTATTTGCAAATTATTGGAATCTAGAGCCGAAAATGAATTTGACTTTGACAGTTGTTTTGTCAAAAATTGTGAACGCTTTGTTTACAATTTTTGACGGTTACAGTGGAGCCCAAAACCTAAACAAAACTTATTTCAAATCTAAACAAAAGCGGTATGAAAGTAAATGCATCAATATAATAACATCATAGGAGTCTGATAAAAAAAATGAAATGTCTGTAATTGTAATAGGTGTAGCCACGGAAAGTGGCGTGCCAATATTTTCTAGAAAAAGAGGCAACAATGAAAATGTTTGTATTACATGATGTTTTGGTTTTCGATATTAATTTCTGAAATTATTAATTAAGTTAATCTCATATGATTTTAAATCCTTTTATTTAGATACAGTTTTCCACCATTGCTTCGCTTCACGGCATAAACATGTTCAGTAAATGCCACAACTTATCTGTAATTAATTCACAAGTGGAAAATGGTAGTATACTTTGGAAGGAATATTATAAAAGGTATATTTTACATAGTATTTATACGTTGAACGCAATAACATTCTTAGTAAAAGCATATTTAACTTTCTTTTATAAGACTATATAATGCAAAGGAACTAAAATCATCGATGACTCATTTAGAATTTTTTAATTTCAGTGTAACACTCATAGGTATAGTAACTGGCGGGCTGGAATGTGATTTAGAGCTGCTGCTTTCTTGTATACATGATGTTATGATATTCTGCGTTGGTAAAAAAGAATTGGAGAATTTAAAGAACATTGATCAATTGAAGAGGGATTTAAGACAATGCTATCCAATATTGGACTATTTATTGGAATCCTTAGACCCAAATACTGTGCCAACAATGACTTTAGTTCTAGACCTTATACAGAGCTTTTTGTGTCCACAAGCACAACACTTACAGGTGTTACTTTTTTTTTATAAAAACTGTTAAACAATAAACTTTTTCTAGATCACATTATTAATCTTCAAATATTTACTTTAGCAAGTATTGGATAACTATGCTGAACAAGTTACCGGTAGATGGGCATGCCTCAGTATACATGGGCACTTAGTAGCAACAAGTACTGATTTTTATGAGTTAGATCCAAGGGAATCAAGATTGCTGCTCCTTTTGGCTGCTGCACAGGATGGTGCACCTTTAAGAGACACTTTGGTGTACCTACCTTATATGAGTCCTGATGTAAGCATTAACAATTGTATTTCTGTAATGCTATTTGTTACATTGCTAGTTTTGAGTCTTAAGTCATCCAATTTTGCTTAAATGGTACTACTTTCAAAATATATTATAATTTTATCTCTCTAATCAGATACATAACACCTCATCTATACTTTAAACTAAGTATTATTTCAGGTTGCATTCAGAGCTGTGACATGCAAACTTTTAGCTGATGTATATGTACTAGTGGTGTGTGGTGCAACCCCTGCACTGTCACAAATAGATGAGATTGTGCTGCAGTGCTGGGAAGGGTATGCACAAATTATAAAAGAAGCTAAGCTTGTACATCCAAGAAACTTTCCAGGCACTATTATTTTCGAGCCATGTGTTTTGGGGTATGTATTGTAAAATTTTATACAAAAAATTAAAGTAGTTTAAACACCTTATAACGGTAATATATTTACATGCACTAGATATTTGCATATATTGTGGTTGTATTGTTCTTATTTTAGTATTTTCCTTGTTAATGTAAGTCAAAGAAGATGTGTATTTTCTCGCCATCTACAATTATCAAATCAAAAAGGCAGAGGAATGTCAGGGGCTCATCGTATGGACATTTTGCGAACATTTTACGTTACTTCAGCAAGGGACTTGGCGCCGGAGTTGAACTTTAAAGAAATTTTAGATAAAGGTATCATATGATTTTTTTATTATTTAACTATTTACAAGGAATGAAAAACATGTATATTGTCATTAAGGGGGATGAGAGGTCTTTTAAGAAATTGTTTTTAAAAAAACAAATGTGTTTGCCAGTGTAAATTCACTATAGTTCATGATTTACAGATAGTGATGAAACAATAGGAAAGGTATCAGAAACCTACTGGTGTTCGGAGTACCACAAATGCCACGCACAAAGATCTGCTAATCTTTTATGTTGTGTACTTTACGCTCCCACTATACCCACTCACACTATGAGGTAAGATATTTTTAATGTCAGTAATGCTTTTAAATAAAATGATATATTATCTGCATATTTAAAGTTAGATTTATTCCATGGATAATTTATACTTTCTTTTTTTCCCTCTAGGTTATTAACCAGTCAAATGCTTCAAGAATTTCTAACGAACAAAGATGTACATTGGTAAATTAAATAAGATTGAGAAAGTAATTGGTGGTTTACTGTCTTATGATAAGGTGTAAAATATTTTGGCAAGTTGTATTATCCGTCCAATGTTTTTTTTTTTATGAAATTAAATAAAACTAAAGTTTCAAAATTGTTTTATTTGTATGTTCAAACACAAACACAAAATATGCTGGCTTAACCAGATCGGACATTAGTCCACTATAAAGGCCTCATTACCAAAATAAATACAGAACACCCCTTATTACTGATTACTTTCATTATTTTCCATATTCAACATAATTAATACTATCATTGTGATGCATATTAATATATTTATTGCATTATAGTCTTGTACAATTGCTACCTAACTACACACTAGTTGGTAGGTAGTCTAAATCATATCTTTGCTCTCACTATAGGAACAACTCACTTGTTCTCATACCACTTTTTTTTTCTCTTTAGCAGAGCATCAATATATTGCTAGAAAATCTTGAATAGTCAGTAACAACTTTTATAGTTAAAATCATAGATTTATAACCCATAGATAATAGATTTAGGTTGGACATCTAATTGAAAGTCAATTTTCAAAATGTTAATTTGTATTTTAAATAACAAAAAGGAAATGTTCCCTTTTTATCGTCTCACTTTTATGTTGCGGATTATGTATCTATAGATTATATAAATATGGTTCAAATATTTAAAAACATGCATTTAGATGTACTAATTTTCAAATAAAGTACATGATTTATTTTTACAAAATATGTCTCAATGATTTGGATCTTACAATAAATTAAATTGATACTACATTTTAAAAGTTTACAGTCAACATTCTTTATGCATGATTTTTTAATTCTATTATTTTTTTTAATGCACCATAATAGTAATCAAATTGAATACTCAATCTTTTAATACTTTAACATTTTTATATATCGCTTAACTCACTGCAAATATAAAATGATTCAAACATTATTTGTTTAAAGGAAATATAAAAAATATCAGAATATTTCAGAACAAATTCATGTGAAAACTTCTAAATACTATAAAGTGAAAATTACTAGTACATATAAAAATATTGTATAAAATTTAAGAGCTATTATTAAAACACAATTTTATTTCATGAATCCATAGTTTATCTCTTTAATAATACAACATAATCCACACCCGTGTAATATTTTAGTGTTGTTTTCAGATTATTGTAATTACTTGAATGATACATTTATGACACCATACAAAAATATACAGCCAATTAAACCATTTTACTATTTAATTAAACTAATACAAAACATGCAGTACCAAATTACCATTACTATTCGGAAAGCTTACTCTTTGTAAAGGCATTAAGGTGTTCTTTGCATTTTCTCATACAATGATTATTCTAAGATTAATCTACGGCAATACAAATTTGACTCAAGTTACAAGACAAAAGATATTTTAAGTGTATCTAAGGCCACATTTGGGTAATCTATTTTTGTCTCTCAGATGGTTTTTACAATGACATACTTACTCTATGACAAGTGTATTTTAAGTGTTACTTAAAACATTTGTTTATTTTGAGCAGCATATTAAGCTTGATTGTTATAATTTAATGACTAAAATTCTCTTAACTTAAGAAATGCTTTTTCTTTGCTATCATTAAAATGAATAACAAATGTTTAAGTTTATATACAATTATTAGGTAGCAACACTAATATCTAGTGTAGCAAAATATTATACTTCGACAAGATAACTGACGCGGTGGGCATAAGTGAAACTAAATTATGATGACTCACTATCTCCCTCCGTTTATGTCATTTTCTATGTCCAGGTTTCACATATTTTCTGACAGAGTCAACCGATAGCAGCAATTTACATTCATTTACATATGTTTTTTCCTATCTTTTTAATAAATGTCCAAGATAAAACATTTTTACTGTACTCAAATTGTTAAAACAAGCTGGAATTAACAATTCCTAAAAACCTTCGCTATTTATAACTAGACATTCGGGACTGAGGTTGTTTAATTTTGCACTTCAACTGTTGTATTAAGTCAAATATTTTCAACGATGGACCAACCTTCATCTCCAGAAGTTCTATAATTTCATCTTTAGACAGCTGCAGCATCATAGCACCATCAATGTGGGCAAAATTTACACAGTATGTGTGGCAGTCGTTAACTGTGAGGAACTTTGCCACATCTGTCTGTGTCCAGTTCTCTGGCTCTATTGTATTGAGAACATCCGATGTCATTGTATTGTTGACTAGTCTGGGTATCACTTTCTCTTCCGCCTCATCTGTTGGTGTGTCGTCTGATTGCGTGTTCAGACTAGAGTCCTGAGACACTTCCGTTGGTGTACACTGGAAATAAACTCTATTATGTTTTCAAACTGCACAAGATTGTTAAAAATGCCATCTATACTTATATTATAAAGAGGAAAGATTTGTTTTTTTAGATGCTTGTATGTTTTCAAATAACTCAAAAACGAATGAGCCGGTTTCCAAAATTCGTTTACCGTTAAAAATTATGTTATCAGTTTGTAACATAGTAAAACATGATCTTACCATTATATCCATGGTCGCTTCACTTTGCACTTCACTGTGTTCTTCTTGTGCGTCCTTTAACTGTTCAGTATCGACGTCCATGTGAGAGACTTCAGTGGTAGCAGCGTTGTGCTGCCGCGGCTCCGGCTCCGCGGACGCCTCC